TAAGAAAATTCGCTCCTTCTGAAAAGTTATCTCCTTTCTGTAGTTTATTCTGTATTGGGGTTTTGGTTTCTGTAGTTTATTCTATATTTAAGCAACTCTACTGGCTTTTTTGGATAAGAATTCATATGTGAAAATTTGGTGCTCCAAATGTAGATGTCATTATAAAATACTTCAACTATTTGAGGAAAAAGATCAAGTTAAATTGTTTTTAGGACCTGTTGTTCATGGGAAAGCGAATTATGTCAGCAGGGCACTGCTTAAGGTTGTAATTCCTAAACTGCCAAATGGAGGCAATGTGAATTACCAAACTCCAAGTTTCAAGTCCACCGAAACAAACAAACAAACAAACAAACAAACAAACAAACAGGGAGAGAGCGGGAGAGCAAGGGGTGGGGGGAGGATGGAGAGGAGGAATGGGAGAAAGGAATAGAAAAATACAAAGAAGAAAGAAATACAAAGTTGTATCAAAATCAAAATGACATGTTGGCATCCATTTAGCTAACGGCTAATAATTTGTAGCTCCCCATAAATACCTAACCTTTCAACACTGAAAAGGCCCAAGATAAACATTCCTGTTATTCCTTACATACTCATTGCCTTACTCTAGCCAGCCAACCCAGTCTTGGCTCCCTCTCCTTCTTCCTCCTACTCCAGCCTCCAGACATGTTTCTACGCAGACCCTCCCATGCCAGCAGTAGCCACCTACCAACCATCTGCCAAGCTGCCTTCCTGCCCTCATTCATCTGAAAAATTTTCTTAAATCCTACCCCATCAGGAAAACAACCTCAGTTTGTAGGCAGGAACATAAGAGTCTGCCTCTGGAGTATAAAGACAAGTGTTTCTATAAAGCATTTTAATTTTTAACTCTTTCAGTCTGTACAATAACATTATAAGGTATTATTGTACCCATTTTACAAAGGAGGAAATCTAAGCTTAGAAATGCTAAGTGATTTATCCATATTTCCTTAGACAGGAAAGGTCAGAATTGGAACTCAAATATAGGTCTTCTAATTCCTGCTGATATAAATTGTTCTTAAAAAGGCAAAAATGGATTATGCTTTCTATTCTAGGAACACAAGGGATTTTCAAATGGTTGTGCAAGTGCCCTATGAGCTCATAATAAATATTAAACCTATTCATCTACAAAATGAATTGACTTCATGCAATAGTAAACTAGAAGCAGGAAACCACTTTCTAGGAGGGAAGGGCTTAGCTACCAACCTTACCCAAGCAACAGAGAGTACTATTTAGTGTTTTAATTTGCAAAAATGCAATAAAAAGCCCAGCTAAATCTCCAGGCAGGTTTATAAGTAAATAATAACCATATAAGATACATGGGATGCCTTTATGATACCTCCGAGGTACAAATGATCACAAGGGAAAATCAACAATGAATGCCCCAAGAGAAAGCAGCAAATATGAAATGAATTTCAGCAAAGTCATTTTTATTAAATTTTCATGCTTTCAACGAAGATTAATGAGTGTCTAGTCTATGTTAGTCAATGGATAAGATTCAAGAGTTAGCAACTTAAATGAGGTCCAGCCCCTGTGGTCTAGGAATTCTTCTCTGCCTACAGTCTTCAAACTTCCTGCTATAATAGACTCTGCTCTTATTTTTATTTTGGTCATTTTGGGGGAATGAATCATTTCCGTCAGCTTCATTCTCCATGACATTCCAGTTGCTCCTACAGGGCTGACTCCATAGTCTCTGGAGGGTAGCTACCAAAATTACAACAAAGTCTGACATCACTTTGCAAGCCCTTTTTTGATGCTGGAATCCTCTACTTTCTATACCACCTACCATCAAGTTCTCCTTCAAGACCTATGATTGCATCAAGAAAATATTACAGCTGCCCCACATTGCCACATACAACATGGACCAGTTACACAAAAGAAAGATTTTTACTGTCCTGACAATAATGAGATAGTCAATGTCCTAATACCACTTGGCTGATGGTTCTTAAGTTTCATGGATTTAGTCACATGACATATTATAGGCTCAAAGTCACATTTACATTGGGCTAGATCTTACTTCTCTACAGTAGATGATAAAAATCACAGCCACAAATAGAAGATTTCATAGAGGAATAGAAATTTCAATAAAATAGAACAAAAATATGACAAAGATAGAAAGGGATAGTGCAGGACTTCTAGAATGATGCATTAGGTAGGCTCTCCATAGAAGCAGTGGCAAAAATTATTAAAATCAAATTTTCAAGAACTCTGGAAATTAATCAAAGACTTTCAACAATCTGAAAAGTATTCATTCAAATGAAAACTATGAACCTTGGTAAGAACAGAAGGGTTTGTATATTGTAATTTGATCTATTTCCATTTTTCTCTCCCCAGTTCTATAACATCCTTAAAAACCAGCAAATTTTCAACCTTGGTAGCTGTGAAAACCAACAGGAAGGTAGTCTACATCCTGATATAACATAGTCAAACTACTGAAAACCAAAACAAGGAAAGAATCTTGAAAACAGCAAATAAATACATACAATAAAATTAACAGCTGACTTCTCATCAGAAATCAGGAAGGCCAGAAAGCAGTAAGATGACATTTTTAAAGAGCTGAAAGAAAAAATTGTCAACAAGGAATTCTATACACAAATTAAGACATTCTCAGGAAAAGAAAAACTGAGAGAATGCATTATTAGCAGAACTACCCTACAAGAAATACTAAAAGGAATCTGTCAGGCTGAATTAAAAGGACACCAGAAGTAATTCAAGTCCATACCACCAAGAAAGTTAAAAGAGAGCCCACAAAATGGGAGAACATATTTATAAGTCATATATGTAATACGAGCCTCATATCCAGAATATATAAAGAACTCTTAAACTCATTAGTAAAAAGATAAATAATCTGATTAAAATGAGCAAAGGATTTGAATGGACATTTCTCCAAAGAAGACGCAGAAATGTCTAACAAGCACATGAAAAGATATTCAACATAATTAGTCATTAGGGAGGTATATATCAAAACTACAATGAGAGATCACTTCACATCCACTAGGATAGCTAGAATCAAAAGATAGAAAACAAATTTCTCTTGGAAGGTAGAAAAACATGAACCTCATATATTGCTGGTGATTGGTTCAGCCACTCTGGAAAAGTTTATCACTTTCTTAAAATCTTAAACATTGAGTTACCACATGATATAATAATTCTATTCCTAGGTACCTATCCTACAGAAATTACAGTTGACCCTTGAACAATGCCAGGGTTATGGGTGCCAACCTCCCACACAGTGGAAAACTTGCATGTAACTTGTGACTCCCTCAAAAACTTAACTACTAATAGCCTACCATTGACCAGAAGCCTTAACTGATAACATAAACAGTCTATTAACATATTTTGTATATGTATTATATACTGTATTCTTACAATAAAGTAGATAGAGAAAAGAAATTGTTATTAAGAAAATCGTAAGGAAGAGAAAGTACACATATAAGTTACTGTAAAAAATCCACATATAAGTGGACCTGCACAGTTCAAACCAGTGTTGTTCAACAGTCAATTGTACAACATATATCCACAGAAAAACCTGTACATGGATGTTCATAACAGCATTATTCGTAATAATTATCCATATTGATAGCTAAAAGTAGAAACAATCTAAGTGTCTATTAGCTGATGAATAGATAAATAAAATGTGATATATTCATACAATGGAATTCTGGATAGATAATGGATAATAATGGATAGATAACTGGTTTCCTACGACTAGAGAATACGAGGTTGGAGAGTTGCTGCTAACGGGTCTGGGCTTTCTTTTTGGGGTGATGAAATGTTCTAAAATTAGAGTGTGGTGATAGTTGTACAACTTTATGAATATACTAAAATCATGAATTCTACACATTAAATGGATGGATGGTATGGTATGTTAATTATATCTCAACAAAACTCTTTTAACAAAAAGGGTGAGTGAAGTAAAGATAACTTCCATAGATCCACAGTCATACTGTAACTTGCAAATAGGTACTGAGAAATTTTAATTAAAAGAATTAAACACTATGTATGGTAGAAATAGATATCATGATTTGGGGTGTGTAGTAATGATTTAATAACAACTAAACTTTACCAATTGCTTACTATGTCCTGCTAGGCACTGTGCTATAAATTAGACAGTTTTACAAAGCACTTTTTCAGAATGGATCAAAAGTAATCCTATCTCTCAGAATTTGTCATAAGGAAATAGATAGCTTTGTTTAGAAAAAAAAAAAAAGAAGAAACTAAGATCAAAAATACATTCATCATGACATTATTTATAATATTTAAAACCTAGAAGTCATTTAAATGTCCAACAGTAGCAACAACTGTGGCATATGGTTAATTTCATATATTCGATAATCAATAAAGATTATAGTTTGGAGCACTATGTAGTTCCTTGCATAAATAAGGGGCTACAGAATTGCTTATGTACTACAATAGTAAGAGCAAACATCTATGGAGTTTTTCAGGCACTGAACCAAACACTTTACATACATTAATTCATTTAGGCCTCATGTTAATCCCTTGAGGTAAGCGTTATAGAGCAGTTGTCAAGGTCACCATGCTAGTAAGCAGTAAAGGCAACGTTTGAATCTTGGCCATCTGCCTCCTCAGACCATGTCTTAGCCATTAGGCTGCACCACCTTTCTATCATATCATCATACTCCATAGATGTGGACAGGGACTAGAAAAGATATTCAACAGTGGAAATATTTGGCTTAATGGAAGGATTAGGAGTAAAGTTTTCTATCTCATTTTTAAAATTTTCTAAAGTTCATATACTTTGTTACCTTTATATAAAAAAATGGGGGAAAAAACAAAAAATCTTTTATTCCTGTTTTAACTCCTGTTTACCTCTTTACTCCTATTACCCCTTAGGATAAAAGATTTCATGTCTACCAAGAAAAGGTAATGCAAATATAACATCAAAACAAAGATTCTCTATTCCATCTTAGGGAATGTAAATCATAATATATCTTAGCAAGCAAGTTATAGCATATCAATTTTACCTTGAATATATCTGCACTGTTAGGATTAAACAGCTGATATTTCCCAGATCCCAAAATAATAGGACCTGAACATGTTGCTTCTCCATAGACATAAAGGGATACTGTCGCCGTGGTGCCGGCATTTTCAAGATCCCCAGTGACAACGGTCACCTTCCAATCTCCTTCTGCAAAGGCAAAAGGAAATTAATATTAAAATGTGGAAGAAAACCATATTAATATTAGGATATGAGGGATTCTACCTAATCCACTTAGTTATGAAATGAATAATCTGTGAAATCAAGTATTAAAATAATTGCTAATCATGGACTCCCTTTTGGAAGCTAGTATGACAAAAAGTCTTGGAAATAATAGATCATTTTAATTACAAATCAAATAAGCAGTAAGCTTTTTAGGGTAGTGGATATTTTGGGGAAATTGGGGAATTGGAAGCACTTAGTACTAGATATTTGGCTAGAAGATTTAGGAGTTTATTTGGTCATCACTGTCAAATCTTTGGGTGGGATCTAATGACAGACATATTGATAACCTGACATTAAGGCATTATCTGTACTAGAGAATAGTCTTGTCAAGCTGGGGCTGGTAATAGTTTGGTGATCTTTGCAGAATCATGGTAAGGATGTGGAAAACCTAAAGACAAAGCAAAAAGAGCTAAAAATTTATTTTTAAAAAATTGCTGGAGTCCCCTAAGGGTTGGAATGAACCAACAAGTAAAGAGTAAAATATCGTATGTAGGGCCTAGCCAAATTGAGAGGGTTTGGGAGGGGGAAGATGAGGAAAGGAGGTATTTGAAACAGAAAGACCATGTGTCATGTAAGCAGAATGGATCATTGAGCTTCCTGCCACAGCGATGCGGGAAGCAAGGAAGGTTGAGACAAGCAGAGCATGACAGAAAATATCTTTTAAGAAGATCTACAACTTGATCTGTGATTGGTTTATTTGGGAAAACAAATAGAGATAGCATTTATTTAATCATTTTGTGCACTTTTGGAAAATGGCACTATCAACCCCAAAGCAGTGAAACCCTCTCAACTTGAGTCCACACCACACAGTCAAGAGTTGGAGTCCTGTCTACTAGAACTCTATACTCATTACAACTGATCCCTGGATTGCAAGGGCAATTTAAAGATGTCTGTTATCATTTTCAAAGCCTCCATAAACACATACTGCCTTGTGAGTATTTATTACATTTTCTTTTTTTTTTTTTTTTTTTTTTTTTTTTAATTTTATTTATTTATTTGAGAGAGCGAGAACACATGAGAGGGGATAGGGTCAGAGGAGAAGCAGACTCCCTGCCGAGCAGGGAGCCCGATGCGGGACTCGATCCCGGGACTCCAGGATCATGACCTGAGCCGAAGGCAGTCGCTTAACCAACTGAGCCACCCAGGCGCCCACCCTATTTATTACATTTTCAAAAGGGGATGAAGACCCACCACTATTCTGAATATCTGAGTTCTCAGTAAGTCCTCCACTCAGAGGTTAACTTTCTTTTTAGTACATTACACCACTCTCCCCAGTCCCCAATCCATCCACAAAGATCATAGGAACGTCTCTAATCAGTTTGACAAAACTTGCATCAGGTAGATTTTGCATAATGTTACATTTGTTACTAAAGATGGAACTTTTATTAAACCTTAGTACCAAAATGCCAAAGGAGGGGCACAACTCACAGGGGTGCACTCTGCTATTTCCACCTTGTAGCAAGTTTACTTTGAGGAATTTCAGTTCATTTTTCAGTGGGAAAATTAGAAAACATGAAAATTTCAAACTATAATTCCATTGAGAATCCTACCATGATATTAATTCTTATAGAAAGCCTTCCACCTGTGCTTTGATGCATAATTCAAACAAGTTAAAGTATCTCTTTTCCTGTTTTTAGATTTTCTTTCCTATCTCATCTTTATCTCCTTCCCCTGCCATCTGGGCCTGCACTGGGCTTTTTGTACCATGCTATCCATGGGGAGAGAGACACAAATGAGTTTGCATGTTGGCTTGCATATCTTGTTTACTACAACAGAAACAAATAGCAATGAACCATTGATTTATATAATATTCTTATGTTCTTTCCTTTTGAAATTACCATGTCACCACAACATGAGATTTAAAGGTGGAATAACCAATGAAATATCTTCTGTGGTGATTTTTTAAATTGTCATTATTCTCAGCATGATTTTCTTTACTAGCACTGAGAAAAATTAACTATTCCAGTATTCCCTATAGTGTACTTTTAAAATATGATCATTTAACTTCTCTAAGAATATCTCACTATCTAAAATACGAAATAGAAACATTTGTAGAAAATATCATAGAGGTACACTCTGAGTCTATATTTAAATTAAAAGTTCCACTATCCTGCAAAACAGTTTATTTTTATCAGAGCTAAAAATATGTTTATGGTTTTTATATCTCTTATTATGTGTCACAGTTACAAGTTTTTAGTTCTGTAATTTCTATTGTGAAACTATCTTCACCAACAAAAATCAAAGAACATGAGTTCAGATATTCTGTGTCTCTTTTCTTTCTTTCCTTATAGCTTCTGTCTGTTCAACCCCAAGGAGTTATACCCCAAAATACTGTAATCTGCTAATCCCTTTAGAAAATCACTTCTATTAACTCAAAGTTCCCAAAGAGAATTCCATGTAATTGAAATCTAAGTATTTATCTCGTATTTACCAGTGTTTTAAAGGTTTTTTAAAAAAGTTTGTTGACTATGCAATAAGCCATTGCTGAGAATCTACCTCAGACTGTCCCATTTTATTCTCTTTTCATTGGCTCTCAAAGCTTAAATTTGGAAAGATACTATAATAGTTGCCTCCATTTGAAGAAATCCTGTTACAGAAAAAAGAAAACTTTTCTTGGAGACTACGTCCTAGGAGGCTTATTTTTCTTTTATGTTAAAAATGTTTAAAAGTAGTCTAGATAGATATACTCTATGATCTCCAAATAACCCAACAATAAATTTAAATTTCTCATCAATAGTAAAGTAAGTTTTAACAGCAGCTTCCACTTTAACAATAGAAAGTATGTGTTCTGTATTTGCTATTTTTATGTAGCTAAGTTAAAACTGAACTAGAAAATCCTGAACTTCAGGATATGATGCTATGCCAACAACTGGAATTCAATTCATATTTGTTGACCAGCTGATTTACAAGTATTAAGTGTCTATATTATGTACAAGCATTGTTATAGACATTCAAGAGGCTATGAGACTATCTGAGTCAAATTATGAAACCAGACTTGACAGTTTATAAATCTTACCTAATACCAAATTTACTGATCATTCACTAGCAAGCCATAAGCTAAGCATTCTTCCTTTGGAGAGATCACGGACCAGGGATTGGCATATTATGGCCCACTGGCCAAATCCAGCCTGCCACCTGTTTTTGTAATTAGTTTCACTGGAACACAGCCACACTCATTTGTTTATGTATTTTCCATGGGTGCTCTTGTGCTACAACAGCAAAGTTGGGTAGTTGCAACAGAGTCCATATGGCCTGCAAAGCCTAAGATGCATATTATCTGGCCCTTCATCATAAAACTTTGCTGATTCCTGCTCTGTATGATTGATATAACTCAAAAATGTCCTCTCCAGCTTCCATTAGAACATGTGCGGTTTCAGACTTAAACCATGCAAGATTTAAGCAATGCAAGCTCAGCTATCAAACCCCATTGATTTCCTAGTTTACATCGCCATCTCTACTCCACCACTCCATAAATACCAGGTTGATTTACAACAGGCAATCTAGACAGACCAGACATATTCTGCTATGGCAGACTGCATTATTTAAAGGCCTTACTGATATCTCCCAACCCACTTGCTCTTTTGCAAAGTGACATTTTACCTCTCTATTAAGAGGTAGAGTCTATTTTCCCTGATTGAATCTGGGCTGCCCTTTGCCAATATAATGCAGCAAAGTGACACTCTGGGACTTCTGAGCCTAGGTTGGTCTGGGTCTGTTAGAATACTTTCTCAAGATACTCCCTCTCGGACCCCAGGAGTTGTGCTATGAAAACCTAAGGCACATGGGAAGCCCTCATGTAGGAAGGTAACTCCAGCTGAGCTGCCAGTATCATCAACCAGTGGAATGGGTGACCCATCTTGAAAATCCAGCCATAGCTTCGGATGTCTGTGCAAATGAAGAACTATCAGACTGAAGTCACTAAAGTTTCTGAGCAAGAATCACCTGGCTGAGCCACATCCACCCACTGAAAGGTGAAAGACAGTAATCAATTACTGTTTTTGAGCCACTAAGTTTCGGGGTGGTTTCTTATAAAGCAAGGGAAAACTGGAAGAGCTGCTGAAAGCATTTCACAGGTAAGAGCTCTCTGTTATCTTTCACTAATAAATACCATTAGTGTTTCTACCAGGAGGTCATATTCTTAGCATGTATGCAGGGAGATTTGACTGAGGCATCTCCTTCATTTCCTAGGAAAAGGAAAAAAAGTAGATTGTAAGTCTACTGTTAACTGTTTCCTTTCCAAAATTTTCTTATTAATTAGAGGTTTATATTTAGAAGGCATGAGTGAGTTATTTTGGTGAGCAAAATCCCTATACCTAGTGAAGTTCAATAGCCCTTCCTTAGATCTTAACAATTTATCTTTACCTTATTCTGTGTATTCTGTTACAGGGGTTACACACATTTGCCTTTGTAGTTCAGAAAATTGACCCTGTTGTTGAATATAGAAACATCTGTGTCTAGACACATTTTCAGTTACTTGGCAACTACCCACTGAATACTCAAAGAAATATAAGGAGGATGCATGTAAATTAAGCTCTGACCATGTAATTAATTGTTAGTTCAGCATACTGAGGAAAAAACTCCTCAAAGCACATTAAGTCATCATAATGCACAGTAAAAACTATGGGACAGGCATGCTTTGCCTGATGATGCACCAGATAGTAAGCATATTCCCATGACATTTACCTTAACAGAGCAGGACACAATAGGATGCAGTGAGAGTGACAAGACTTAATGCATGCACCTCTGCAAACTGCAACCTCCCACTGCTCTGATCACAATCACAGGTAGATTGAGACAGCCTAAGAAGAAGATGCAAAGAACCACTATGCATCATGAAGCATGTGCTTGGCTCTTACTTGGTGGAGAGGTTGAGCATGTGTCAAGGAAAGAAGGAGGAGAGCTGCAGGTGACTCAGGGGAACAAAA